CCTCCTCCGATCCCCCGAGACCAGCGCGGGCGCTCGTGTCGGGGGTATTGTTTTGGGTTAGAACCCCCACACAACTTAAAGTTGCCAAGGTTGAAAAACGCTGGTCTGGTTGGATAGTTTGGGGCTCGCCATGTTGTAGGAAACCCAATCACTGTCTTAGCACATTGTGTAAACCAGGCCATTCTGTAATATATTTGCTAATTTACATGGGAGCGCCTGTTATATGAACACCAAAGTTACTCACGTACACCTTTATACCAACCTTTTAGGGGTAAGCGGTGTTAAGCAGAGTGCAGAAAAAGGGTAGGGTGTTGTAAACAAAAGATATTAATGACAGGGGAGAAGGAAAAGAAAGGAGAATGTAAGTAAATATCATTGACAATCTAGTTATGACAACTCCATTCATTATATCTCTTCCCGCATTTCTGAGCTTGCTTCCTACATCCACAGCTTCCATCCACAGCTTCATACATTGCCCTTTGCCCTTCAAACATCCTACTTCTTTCTTTTTGAGGATCTCATCAACTCCACGAGTCATCGGCTCACCAGCTTTCTCAGCCCTCCCTCTCCAACCCATTCACTCTTTCCTGTTCGTTTTGCAATTCAATCCCCATTCATCACTGCATATGACTTAAACCATCTCAACATTCTTCTTCCGTATCTGCCTATCCTTGCAAGACCTCCCAGCTTTTACCATGTCCTATGTTCCCTTTGCTTCGGTAAACTTCTCTCTCTTTTTCAGGATCTCATCAACTCTATTCAACCGCAACTTTCTCAGTCTTCCCACCCCCCTGCAAGCCACTTTGCTCTTCCTCCTTCTTTTTTGGCAGTTGCATCCTCATTCATTCTCTGTATACATTGAAGCCATCTCATTTCCTTCATACCAATCACTCCCATTTATATTCAACCCATGCATTCTTGAGCCTCTCCTTGTTTTTCTGTGTTTTTCAGCACCCTATTCCTACAGCATTCAACACTCAATTTGTAGGTTTTTTTGACGTAATCAACTCTCGCTTTCCTATAAGAAAGTTGGCTCCTTAAACAGAGCCATTTTTGTATGTTTCAACAAGCATTACTTTCTCCCAACAGACCACATACTGACCACTCCCCTTTGTCACCTTTTACGTGACTTAAATTTTCTCCATCTGTTTTCTCATTTTTAATAAACATTTTAGCAAGCTACAGATAGTCATCTCTGCAATCTAGTTTTTCATCATTTATCTCAAGCTTGTAGGCATTCACTCCATTTTCCCTGTGAAGCACAACCGTCTTGGTTTTCAATACATTAATGTTCAGATCTGTTTTTGATGCATCGTACAGCTTAGTATTTGCTGCAAATCCTTTTGGGTTCTCAGCCAACAACAGGCATTTTCCACATACAGAAATTTTCATATCCCCAATGAACATGCCTCTGATGTCACCACATGTTTTCCATCTGCATTTTTCCATAAATGCATTAAACCAGGGTTCCTCAACCTTGGCAACTTTAAGATGGGTGGACTTCAACTCCCAGAATTCCCCAGCCAGCATCCTTGGAGTTGAAGTCCA